CAAAACCAAGCACACTGACAATTCTCGCGAAACTTAAACGACGGAACACCATGAGAAAGAATCAGACCGCTTGTAGCTAATACCTTAATCATGTATAAGTTAAACACATTTTTGTTTTAGTATTTACTAAAAAAAAAAAAAAAAAAAACCTACTGAGAGCTCTTACTTCAGCTTCAGTGCCTGACTCATGTTACAGGGGTTCGACTTTAGCGGCAAGAACGTGACAACACTGCAGAATAACCCTATTGGTCAGCCTGACAAAGACAGCCAATCACAGAGCAGAAACATGGAAGAGGCGGGACAAGGGATTCCACAAACTCGGAAATCTCTAAAATATGTATTTATTTATTTAGGACACAACATTATCAACAGGACGTTACTACAATTAAAATGATGTCAGCGACATAATCAGTTTGGAGATTGATAAAAAAAAAAGACGGAAGCAGTTATAAAAGTCGATCCTTCATGTTTTTTCAGTTTGGAGACTGATAAAAAAAAGACGGAAGCAGTTATAAAAGTCGATCCCTTTCATGTTTTTTTTTTAAATTGTTTATTTTATATACTGACTTTGTTACATATGACTGAGCATATAAGAATGAGTGAGCATATGTACACTAACTGTAGATATATGACTGAAGAGATCTTCATTATGCAGTTCAGTTGCAGTTCTGTCTCACAACTTCTGTTCAATGTAAGTGTAATAACATGCAATGGATTTAATATAAAAATGGTGTCAATAATGCTGATTAAAATAAAAGCACTATATATTACATAAACATTAACATTATAACGACAATGTAAAAACGTTCCTTCAATTTAAATAATACAGTCAGATAAATGGCTTGGAAAGGCATATATCTGAAGGTGGACTGGGTCATATATATAATAAATGTCATACATGTAATCCTAATTTTTGCAGAAGGGTCACGGGGTGGTGCTGTCTCTGCGTTGAATATGTGTTGTCGGGCCTCATTTTTGTCGCTGGGTGGAGCGCGTGCCTCCACGTTCCGCTCTGCTCCAGGATTTGACGTGTCGTCTGTGTTTTTCTGCACTTCCTGCTTCCTCCGTGACTGTTTTGAGCCAGCAGTCCCGTTCGAAAGCTGATCGGTAGGAATCCTTAAACGTGGCAATGGTGTGAAGGTGCGCGATCGGCGGCGGTGTGTGATTGTGAGTGAAGCCCGAGCTGTTATCGCTGTCAGCCATGCAGTTCTCTCCCACCAACGGTGATTTTACCTTCGTCTCCTCGACGGACGCTGAAGGTACAGTAGTTAAAGGCCCCAAAGCATCCATACTTCTCTGCTCTGATATGTGAGCCTGATTTATGTTGGAATGCAGTTGGTTGTGGTTGTGTGTATTATGTACACATACATTAATATGAGAATATACCTAAGTTTGTGAATGATCAATCCTTTTAATACATCATGACATGGGTGTTGTTTTTTAGACTCAATAGGGATGTAATAGTGAGCTGTATAAATCTAAAACAATCTCTTATCCACCAGAGCTCAGCGGCACCATCGATGCACCGGATATCACACTAAATATTGGCCCTGATTCCACCAGGGACACTTACGCCACCACCTTCCTGAGGCAGAGAGGTTACGGATGGTTGCTGGAGGTGGAGGAAGATGATACCGAGGACACTAAACCGCTCCTGTGAGTTTGTGGGACTTCTGGCGCTTGATGTCATATTTGCTTTGGTTGTGTTTATTGGTTGTCTGTGTTTGTGCAGGGATGAGTTGGACATTGACTTAAAGGACATCTACTACAAGATCAGGTGTGTGTTGATGCCCATGCCCTCGCTGGGTTTTAACAGACAGGTGGTGAGGGACAATCCTGATTTCTGGGGCCCGCTGGCTGTTGTCCTGCTCTTCTCCATGATCTCCATCTACGGACAGTTCAGGGTGAGACATGAGTCTTTGACTTGGGCATAATATTTATGAATATTAGGGATGTAACGGTATGAAAATTTATTATCACGGTTATAGTGACTAGAATCCACATAAGCTTGTTTTTCATCAACCAGTCAGAATTTACAGCAGGGCATGCAAATCCTGTCCGTTTTTGGCCAGACAGAAACTGCACACAGACTGAATGTAAATATAAGTCTCTGTAAATCCACTCGCTAACAGCAGGTAAAAGCTGAATTAGAGCTGTTTCCCGTAACCTCCGTGGACAAAGCTGTATTGCGATTAAGAACACTTCTTTTAGGTATTACATGGAGCGAAGATGAAAACAAAATGCCATCGATTCTTTTCTGAAGACGGTCAGAACCTTCAGAGGTACAATCATATAATTAGTTAATTCATATATTCATTTGTATAATTCCCTTAGCACTCTTTTAAAACCTCCCAGCTTTTCTACCTTGTTTTCACTCAAAACGAAACTACTCTGTGTGCTGTGCGCACGTGAAACTGTTACTTAAAACTGTTCTTTATGCTGGACAGTATTTATTTATCGCGAGTTGTTCAAATCACGGTAATCTAATACGGTTTTAATGATAATTAAAAGATGAAACGGTAATACTAACTGTGGGGAATTTTATCATGATTTATCGTCAAACCTGTTACATCCCTAATGTATATAGTTATCAGTAGCGTGTTTAGGCACCACGAAACCCACGCAATTGTGTGGGGCCCCCGCGGAATGCGACTTCTACCAAGGGGTACCCCCAATACACTAAACACGCCACTGATAGTCATGATGCATGTGCACATAGACCTACCATCAAAATGCAAAATAACTGTAGACTGTAGGCTAGTGACAAGTTTATCTTCAATAACATGGAAATAAAATGACCGATATTTAAGCTTCTAAAACCACAATGTCTATTCATTAAATATTTTTAATATTTAGAATATTTTAAAATTTATTCTGCCATTATGCAGGCGTGACTTGAAATTATTTTATTACTTCTCATCAGTTTTTTTATATGTAATTTAATTGAGTTTTAATTGATTGACAGCCCTAGAATTGATTAAACATTAAGTATTAATTTGATAATTAAGAAAATAAATGTAATAATATATCATTATTAATGCCTGCATACTAAAGTAACTTTCAAGAAGGCATGAAGATTGGAGAGATTAATTATTTTGTCATTTTTCATTTCAATATGACCTTGTCACTTGCATGATTTAGTTAGTCAAAACAGAAGCAGAAGCGCATTAAATTTGGATTATTTTTTAATATGTCATATATCTTTTTTGGACCAATCAGGTTGTTTCCTGGATTATTACAATCTGGATATTTGGATCACTGATGATTTTCCTTCTTGCAAGAGTGCTGGGTGGAGAGGTATTTATATCTTGTGAAGCGTCAGATAGCATATGATTTTTATGAGTTGAAAGAGATGCCCACTTATAGTTTTTAATTTTATTTATAGGTGTCTTATGGGCAAGTGCTTGGTGTTATTGGCTATTCTTTGCTCCCACTCATTGTAATAGCTCCACTTCTCCTGGTCATTGGGGGTTTTGACATAGTCTCTACACTCATAAAGGTAAATATGAATAAAAAAAAGAATATGAAATTATGTATAATAATAATATTTAAATATGTTTTTTTTTCTCTTCTAGCTTTTTGGAGTATTCTGGGCTGCATACAGTGCTGCCTCTTTACTCGTCAGTGATGAATTCAAAACGAAGAAACCCCTTCTCATATATCCCATCTTCCTTTTGTACATCTACTTCCTGTCTCTGTATACTGGAGTCTGAATTGACCACAGGCTTTGATTGGCTCGTTGCTTGGACATTGACAAAGAGCACTGTGGAGAGTTGCACAGCAGGGATATTCCATGATGCATTTTCTTTCTTTCCTTTTTTATTTTCTTTTACCCTGTTTATAATCCTATATGCTTTGGGGAATGAGGTGTACAGACATTAGTGTATTTAACTGCTTCCATTAATTTTGTACACAATAAAAAGCTGCATCTTTTACTGTGGAAGCCCTGATTGCAGAGATGCCTCTGCCGCAGAAATCTGGAGACCTGGTTTTACATGATATTTACAAACCCCAAGAGGAAAGTAAAAAGGAGATCTTTATATTGTAAAAGACTATGAAAGGCATGATAGTCATGTAACAGAATTTGTGTCATCACCACACACAGTGGTGAAAACGTTTGTGAGTTAACCAGCTGATGGTAGACAGATTTTGTTGTTGTTGTTGTTGTAGACTGATCCAATACATTCACAGAATTCTTCATCTTATCACTTTTCATTTTTAATTTATGAGTTCTACATGGAAAAAGAGAGTGTGCAGGCAGTACAGCTTAGATTAAAAAGGCCTGCTATGTATGGGTGCCTTGAATTGGTTGTTTTATATGGCTGTGGTGTATTTTATTTATGTAAATGTAGCCAAAAAGGAAAGGAATTTTTATTTGTAGAACATGCAATTGAAAACAACTTTCTACCTGGTGATGTGTACACTGCAGACATATGTTACCATATTAGTTTAGCTAAAACAATTGAGTCTGGAAATCGTTATATTCATGAAACAAATTAAAATCTGTTGACACTGTAATTACACTTTTTGTTGTGAATCTCATTAATGTCAGGGAATAATACTTAATTGCATGATTTATTGGTTTATTTAATATTCATTATTACAAAATGTTTGGTTACTGGTTTTAACAGTAAATACTTCAATCAAAAAAGTGATTATGTATGATATTTTGAGGACACAAAAGTGTTGTATTTATAATCTAAAAAAAAACAGTTGGAGATTTGCTGTCAAAATTCTGTTGATAAAGAATTTATAAAGATAATTTATTGGTTTGACATAATACTAAATAATTGTTATCTTTAACTACAAGAACCTTAAAATGTGTGACTTCCTAATGCTTCTGCTGGGGAAAAAAAGCTTGTTTTCAAACCGAACAATATAATAAATTAAAAGAAAATAAAAATCTATCTATCTATCTATCTTTATCTATCTATCTATCGACCGACCGACAGCGCCCCCTGAGGTTCGGCGGGCGATCACACGGTGACTACGCCAGTTCCGTTTCCACGCTGAGTGTGTGAGTAGAAGGAGCCGCTGGTTTCCGCTCCGCTGATGGTGAATCGCTGCTTCCTGCGGTATCGGGAGGAGGTTTAGATCCCGCAGTGGAAGCGCAGCGGTACCTCGGGATTCAGCTTTAACGTTTTCTCGTCGAGTCACGTCCACGAAGGAGCTACTGAAGGAGGAGGGAAGGCAGGAAGGGAAGATAGCAGGAAGATGGCGGCGGCGGCCTCGCCAGGCTCGCCGGACTGGGTCGTGCTGAGAGACGGCTGCCTGCGCTGCGATGAGGAGGGCCTACGGAGTCTGTCCTACCACCCGGCCCTCAACGCCATCCTGGCCGTCACCAGCCGGGGCAGCATCAAAGTTATCGACGGCACCTCCGGGGCTATTTTACAGGCCTCGGCTATGCACGGTGAGTTTCGGCTCGGACGGGTTCTGAGGAATTTATCCAGGCCGGCCGGGATCATAGCACAGAATCCTGGGCTGGACCTCGTCATAGAGGAGAAGTATGCGAGATCCGTTCCTCCTATAGCTTGTGACAGAGAAGGAGAGTGTCGAGATGATCCTGATAGACAGTGTTTGATCTTCTGATGGTGCAGTGTTGTGGGAATGACTCCTCTCTATTTGGACTCCTTGTGGAGGACTGTCAAAATACTCCGTCCCTTTATCGCTATGTGATATTTCTGGTATGAAGGACTGTGTGTGAGTGATTCTCCACTCCAGGGCCTCCTGATAGAGCAGTGTTTTAAGATCGACACCTTACTATTCAGGCTCCCGATGGACCGTCCATCACTCCTGATAGGTGTATGTGATAATTTATAGGGTCTGTGAGATTAATCGCTCACTCTTGATAGAGTTGCTGTTGTGACAGTCTTTGGGCCTCCTGATCCTCACTGTTTAGGACCTCCTGGATCTGTTGTGCTGCCGGATCACTGTAAACATTACCACGTTTATTCACGAACACACCGTTTATGTACACATCAGTACTGTTTTCTTTCAGTACTGTCAAATAAAGCTAAACCAAAACACGCCCTAGCTGATGCGATATTAGGGTAAAGCGGTACTAAAGCTAATCTAAACACATCATCTCGTAGGTGTGTGTCTTTCTCGTACTTGGTGTCACTGACATCCAACTAATATCTCAATACATGTCAGTGACTTATAGTGCATATTAACATAGGTTTTGGCTTTCACGGTAAACAATTTTTTTTAACTTTTGGCTCTAAATAAGCTGGCAGAGCTTTAGCTAATCATGCTAACGTTAGCCTAGCATGTCTGCTACGGATCAGTAACACTGCTCATGTTTATGTAAACCCTGACAGGTGACAGCTGTCTGTACAGTTGCGTAAAATGTGAATATTATATTAATTTGTGTTAATTTTATGATAGTATGTATGATTTGGGAAGGTTTGAGTGCTTTCTGTGCAGGTTTGCTGTTAAACGTCATTTTGAACGTAAGAATGAGTCCCTGTGGTGGTGTTGTTAGTATGTACATTGTTGATCTTGTCAGTCGGTGTTTAAGTGTTTTATCTTTTATTCTGTTTGTTAAATGCTGGAATTAGGCCTAAGTAATGAAAGATATGCATAATTACACTGGAGGTGTGTGATGTTGCCTGAAGCTGTAATATTGAGTAAGCAAACGGGTTAAACTGGCACTCTTTCAGACTCATTGACTGTCACAAGATGAGACTGCTAGTCTAAATGCTTTAAAGAGAGGACAGCTGGACACTAAAGGATGTAAACTGGTGTCTTTGCAGTGACGCATGTCTTTTAAAGGGGTCATATGATGTTGCTAAAAATTATTCTGTGTATTTGGTGTAATGCGGAAATGTTATGCCACTTAACATACTGTGATGCAGAGTCCCAGCACGACAAGACAAAACAAATGAGGCATTTGTTGCATCCAGTGGGCACATAATTACTGATTATAATGACTTATACTGTCTTTTTAGGTGTTGCCTTGCGTATCGCGCTGCATAAACATAAAGCCATTGAATCATCAGTGGCAAATTCTTTAAATATGTAAATGTACTTACAGACTGTGAGTCAGAAACACCAGACTGTCCTTGCAAAGTTGGAACTGCCCCACTTTATAGAAACAGCCTTCCCAGGATCAAGAAACAGTCCTCCATAAAATGCGCTGCAAACATCTGAATATTTGGGTTGAACTGTTCTGGAACAGTGTTGTAAATACAACTTAACCACTGATTTCTAATCGTGTCCTCTTTTGGAAGGCCAAACAACGTAGTTTCACTTTCACAACGAAACACACAGCGACTCGACAACATGGCAGTGGCGCCGGCAGCAGCAACAATACTACAGCGAGAATAAAAGTTACGCCTTCTTTCTTTGCGTGAACATTTGGGCGCGTTATGCAAATCTTCCCACACAGTGACGTAGACATGTGGGGGTGTGTTAGAACGAGCCGTTTTAGGTAGACGTGGTTGACTCTTAACTTTTATAAAGAATATTTCTTTGGATTTGAGACTTTAGTCTTTGCAACTTTACAGATCTTCTTTATGCACCAAGAGCTTGTAACACTCCAAAGAGAAAGGAAAAATTGAAATCGCATCATATGACCCCTTTAAAGTCTTCTGTCAAATGTGTGGTAATGAACATTTCTGAATGTAGCTTTAAGCCACTTTCCAGCTAAACTCCAGGGCCAGATTGAAAGTATTTTAAACTGAAGGTTGTGAATGTGACATTTAGTCCAGGACTAATCTGAAAGGCCAATTTAAAGAGTTAAACTTCATTCATGTCTCCAGCAAAGCAGTGGCTGGAATTACAGTAGCTACAGTAGATGTGCTGTTTTGTAACACTCATCATTTTTGAGTTAATCTCAGCTATTTATCCATGGATGCATATGAAATGCAAGGAATGATTAGTCTTACACCAGTGACACCGTAGCACATATGATTCTTTGTTGAAAATCCCCTGTGTGGAACAAGAAGTCTGTACATTTGGGCAGAGAGTAAGCTAGTGGTTGGGTTACATTTAGAGTCTTGTGATAGTTGGATATTGCTGAGTTGCAGATATCACGCTCAACTAAACTAGTATGTTTGAAATTGCAATTAGGTTATTTAGCAGGGAGTCTTGGCACAGAGAGTTGCTAGCACAGAACAGTCGACTCAAGCTTGTTTGGATAATATTGATTGGAGAGGTTTTCCCTTTTTTTCCTTCCTGAGTGTGTAACTGCTACTTAGGAGCAGATTTGGGGGTGGCTGTTGCTCTTTGTTCCTCATGTTAAGATGTTTGATTTAAAATACATTAAAGAGACAAAATTTCGGTATAAATTGCTTGTGATTAAAGCATTTATTTGATAACAGGTTGTAACATATAATAGCATATTGTATTGTTACTGAAAAATCTGCTTTCGAACATCACCTGTCATTTCTGCTCATCAGATTTCAGTCATATTTTCATACAGCTTTCTGTCATTCATGCATGTTAAAGGATGCTTGGCTTTTTTTCTTGGGTAAAAAGGAACAGAACATTTTGGAATGACATGCTAATGCCAGTGGCATTTCTCACTTTTCTTCGTTTGATGTTGGTGAATGTTCTAGATGCTTGTTTTTCAGTTCTGATTTGTAAAAACGAGGGTGTAGCTCAGAACAAATTTAGTATTTCTTTATCTTTTTCTCTTTCTTTTAAAATTTTTTTTCTAAGAAACAAGTATTTCAGTTCAAAGTTCGGGTTCAGTAATATATATATATATATATATATATATATTAGGGATGTGCGCGACGACTAATTTGACTGTCGTTTAAACGAAAGTTTTGTATCCGACTAGTCTAAAAGCAAGAAACCCCCAAAAGATGATAAGAAAAAAAAAAACTCTGCGCGTGTGTGTAGCATATATAATAGCCTATATTTTTTAAATACTTAATCTATGAATCACACTGTCAAATCCCTCCGATAAGAGTTTCAGAAAGCGCCTGGACATCCCGCACCACCACCGAAGTGGGTCTTCGTTAGAGGAATAGACGGCGCGAACGGGATCGCAGTGCCGGCAGGTTGTAGTGAATGACGTGATTGACTCTAAGCTAACGCCTACGTGCCTGTATTGAATATGATTACGCATCGCTCCAGTCGAGTTATTGTAAGACAATTTGACATTACACAATTTACACAAAATTTTTCAGTTTCCTTCTAATTCAAAATAATCCCACACCTTGCTCGTCTTTCACATGGTCATTTTTGAACTTGCCGCAACTGACATGAAGAAAACGCATGTGAGGTCTGAGGTAAAAATGTAGTTTCCACCCAGATAAACTTTT